ATTCTTTTAACTGCTTTCCATTTCCAAACAGTTCCATGTTGCTTCATAAAGATAAAATCTTCAGAACACTAAAAAAAACTCAAACAAGTAAATTGATCACAAAAGAAAAATATTAGTTAGGGCTTCGGATGTAATAAACTTTCTGTAATTCCTAAATTTGTCTCTCGTGATAAGAAGCTAATCTATCTAAATGAACTATTTTATTCTTGTGTTTTCTCGATTTCCGAATACAATAAACTACATCATTTAATTTTTTAACGACCTCATATGGTCCTTCCCAATTGCTTTGCAATTTGGGAGTTCTTCCAATAATTCTCCGAGGATTCAACAACCAAACTTTTTATCCAGGCTCAAACCGAATTCAACGAGCTTTCCGATCATAAAGAGCCTTAACTTTTTGAGATCTCATTCTCAACTGTTGTCTGACTTCCTCATGGATTTTATTTAATTTTTCCTTTAACTTTGTTACATAACTTCCTTCTGAATATTCTATTTCTTCAGGGGGACTACCACGAAGAAGATCCAAAGGTAGTTTCAAATCCCGACCAAAATACAATTCAGCAGGGGAAATCTTAGTGGTTTCATGTCTAGAAGACCTATACGCTAATAGACTCATTCCTATCCAACGATCCCAATCTCGTTGATTTTCTGAAACAAATTTGGCCAAATAATTCGTAATTGTTTGATGTTGACGCTCTACTAATCCATTAGATTAGGGATGAAACGGAGTTGTTCTAGTTTTCTTTATCCCTAACAAATGTGACAATTCAAGTAAAAGTCGTGAATCAAAATTCCTTCACAGGATCACCAATTTTCAACATCCTGTTTACAGGTTGCCCAATAAAATCGCTTTTGAACTTCATCCAAAGTTTTGTTGACTCCAAAATGTCTTCCAAAAGAAGAATCGTGAGCCTCTTCCAAAATCTGTTGTACTTTATTCCGTGGAACTATTATCTGAAAAACATAAGTTTGTAAATCAGGGGATTCCCATTTCCTATACAAAACACCATTTCTTATCTCCAATGAATCCCATTGCGTCCAGTAAACTTTAGCTGAAAAATTTTCCGAAACAATTTCCTGCCAATGAGGACGTTGATTTTTCTCTTTTCTTTGAAGAATTTTGATCAACGTCAAATCCTTAATTTGTTCCTCTTTCCAGTCTATTGAATTTTCTGATTTTAAAATTATTTTTCCTATTAATCTTTCTTTCTCTTCCTTAGAATCTAATTTATTACAATAATTATAATTGACCTTTTTACAAGGTCGTCTGGATAAACCATCGGCATTGTTATGTAATTTCCCTTTCCAATGAATAATTTCAAAATTATACTGTTGAATCCGTTCTAGCCAACGTGCTAACTGACCTTCTAAATTCCTAAATGACATTAACCACCGAAGAGAGATATGATCGGTTCTGATCACAAATTTACTTCCATATAAATAATAATGAAAGGACTTGAGTAAATCAACTATAGCAAGCAATTCCCGTCGTGTGACACAATAATTTCTTTCTGATTTATTTAAAACCCGACTAAGATGTGCTATCACTTTTTCTTCTTTATCTTGAATCTGAAATAATACCGCACCAATTCCATGATTGGAAGCATCGGTATCAAGAATGTATTGTCCTTCATCTTTTGGAAAGGACAGAATAGGAGAAGACACTAAACATCTCTTTAATTCCTCAAAAGCCGTCTCACATTGCTCAGACCAAACAAATTTTGTGGAATTTTCCGTTAATGAAAATAACGGCTTCGCTATTAGCGAAAAATCTTTTACGAATTTCCTATAATAAGAACAAAATCCCAAAAAACTACGAATCTGCTTTTTAGTACGAGGAACCGGCCAATTCTTAACAGTTAAAATCTTTTCATCATCCGTAGTTATTCCTTTCTCGGAAACAACATGTCCTAAATATTTTATTTCCCTTTTAAAAAACATTTCTTTGGATTTAATTTTAAATTTGAAGAACGTAACCGTAAGAAGACTTGCCTCAGATGTTCCAACATAACTTCAAAACTCTTAAGCCGAATCTACAATGTGTTCTTTGCTTTCTGTTGCTTGTTTTTTGCCTCTTGCTTTTTGCTTCTCGTATTTTTGTCGCATGGAGCCGAGAGACATCGTCATGTACAATATGTCTTTCTGAATTTCCGAAAGAAAATATTACTTTACATGGACCAATCACAGATCGTTATTTATAGTCTGTTCTAAAAGTCTCAGATGCTAAATACAGCATTCTTATTGGCTATTGATGTTTTAAGGCAAATACTTTAAAGACGAACTTACAATATATTATGAATATCGATCATAAAGTATCATTTGGCGCTGTATTTATATCGGCATAAGAAGGTTACGTAGAAGTCAAATGTTAGTCGAAGTCAAATATTGCCTAAAAATGAACGAACAATTATTAATAAATGTGTTGGTTATTGTCCAATGTTGGAATCTTTTTTTACTGCTTCTGCTTGCAAAAAAAGCAATTAAATAAAAGAAGAACCAGGCGTTGAGTGCGTCCGATTAATTACGATCGAGAAACCCAGGGAATTTATAATAACTTATTTAGAGAAGTAATAACGACAGACCATGAACAATTCTTTGAGTACACACGCATGAATGTACAACAGTTTAATTACATTTGTGATTTAGTAAGACCATTATTAATTAAACGAAGCATTAGAACTCCATTGCCCCTAAAGTTACGCATGGCTATTACTCTTGAGTAAGTACATTTTCTACTTTTACTATTACTAATATTAAATTCTTTATGTTACTGAGCCCTACATTATTTTCTTAAAGAATACTAGCACGAGGTACTTCAATTAAAACGTCTTCATGGAGCTACAGAATTGGACGTTCCACTGCACACAAAGTGTTTAGAGAAACCTGTATTGCTTTATGGAAAGCACTTCAACCAATATATTTAAAGCCATACACAAGAGAGAGTATGATGCAGATATCAGAGGATTTCTTAAATCGATGGCAATTTCCCAACTGTGTCGGAGCTATTGACGGGAAACACATATCAATACAGTGTCCCCCAAAAACTGGTTCTCTGTTTTACAGCGCATACAAAAAGAGATTTTTAATAATTCTCCTTGCTGCATGTGACGCTAATTATCGTTTCACGGAGGTGGATGTTGGCGATTATGGTGAGTACCTGTGCAATAGTTACTGAAATGCTATAGCTTATATTGTATTGACTTATATCATTTTTTTTTAATTCGCCTGCAGGATCTCAAAGTGATGGGGGGGGGGGGGGCAAACAGTGCTTTTGGCCAGGCTATTGAAGCAAATGAAATTGACTTTCCTTTTCTAAAAGAGCTTCCTGGCACTGATGTCACTCTCCCCTTCACTTTTGTCGCCGATGAAGCGTTCCCACTTGGCATTCATATGATGCGTCCATATGCCAGATCTTATAGAACTTTTGGTAATGCAGAGAGGATTTTTAATTATCGCCTCAGTCGTGCCAGATTCGTCATCGAAAATATATTTGGAATAATGCCTTCGAGGTGGCGTATTCTGAGAAGGAACCTATGCTGTACACCAGAAACAGCGGAAAATATTGTGAAAGCAATTGTGTGCCTTCATAACTTCCTAATGGTATCAGAAGACGACATAGAACCATCGGAAAGGACCTATTGCCCTATATTTATGGTGGATAGAGAACAAGATGGAAATTTGATCGGAGGTAATTGGAGACAAGAAGTGTACAGGGGACCAATCACTGATGTTGGTCGACTTGGGTCCAATAATCCCACAGTGAGGGCTGATGCTCAGCGGAACATTTTAAAAGATTATTTTTGTTCTGACATTGGCCAGCTGGATTGCCAGTGGGAGGTTGCATTGAGAGCACATAATGTAAATTTCCCTTAATAATACGATGTGATATTACAAAAAGACAATAATATTTAAATGATATCTAGTCTATGCAGT